TCCAAGGCAGTTTTGCATTAAAGTTTACAAAGAACATTTATTCACATGTACACAGGTGGCTTGTTTTTATTTGCTTTTTTTTTTTTCTTTCACAGTTTTACTTTTTATGTTCACACCTGCTGTATATCCCCCTGTGGAATTTCCATTAAATTCTACAATCAGTAGGCTTTTTAATCATCCAGCTGATACAGAAATAGAAGCTCAGAGTGAACCATTATGCTCGGCGCATTGTAACAGACAGCCAATGAGGAGCTTGTTTGATACAGAGCCATTGTTTGGCCTTCATTTAATTTAGTCAGCAGGGAGAAAAGCATTTACATAACTGAGATATTCAGATGTTTGAAAATGACTGGCCAGTAGCATCTGGTGCTGGTGTGACTCATGGAGAGTAATGTAGCAAAGACAAACGGTAGTAGCATGTGGGCTGTTTGTGTGTTTTTTTTTAATTTTCATGTGTTAATTTCTCACCTACTGATTTCTCTCTAAAAGATGTGCATGCAAAACATTCACATATACATCTTGTCCAGTCTTTGGTCTCAGTGCTTCTGTCTGTGTCCAGCTATCTCAGCCTTTGCGGTGGCAGCGCTGGTATTACCAGGAAGCTACCCCCACTACCTGGACTTGATCCACTCTCTGTCCATCGGCCCCTATCTTATTGGGCTGGCCAAGTTTGGCATCGCTTTCCCTGTATCGTACCACACGTATAATGGCATCCGCCACTTGGTAAGACTTCATCATCTGGCTATATACTTAAATGTTTTATTTTAAACTCCACATTTGATGTTTTTCAGCTTGTGTGCTCCCATTAGCTTGATTTGTGAAGTGTTTTGATTTCTCGGGGTAAAAAGAGACAGATCTCTTTGCAGTTTAAAATGTTTGTCATGTTTGCTAATTTAAAATACATCATATTTGCCAAAATTTATAAACTGAGGATGTTTTTAATACTAAATAATCTTCTCTCAACTCACTTATTTTTGTTCATTATTCATTCAGTACTGGGATATCGGCAAAGGCTTCAAAATTCCAGAGGTCTACCGCACCGGCTACACAGTTATCGGTCTGTCCATCATCACCTCCATAGCCATAGCTATGCTCTGAGCGCAGGACGAAAATGAAGCGAGCAGAAAGGAAAAGGAGCAGAGGGAGCTGAAGGGGGATTTGGATTGGATGCACTGTGGAAGTTTTGTGTATATGTTTGGCTTGTGGCCTGCTGCAGGCCCCATTTCATCAAAGTATTAAATAAAGGATTATATTATGCTGTACGCACAAATGATGCTGTGATTTTTGTCCTTTGGAATTAATTATACTCTGGAAAGCTTTGGGGGTCATCAAATGCAGTGCAAAGTGCATGCAAGTGTGACCTAGTTTTACTCGCATTTGTTTTTTTTTTTTGGTGTGAACAACGACCAGTGGACGAAATTAGACGTGTCCTACATGCTGCGTTCTTATGTAATTTGTCTAATTGCGCTGTGACGTCAAATTCATTAATCGCTCCTCTTTGCCCTGAGTGCTCAGTGGCTGCCAGTCAAACTGGTGCGTCTGCCAGTTGTCTCTGTGCACAGAGCTGTGTGTTTGTGTCAGTGGAGCGGCTGTTTACTGTAGGCTGTCATTCATATTTTACCTTCTCCAGGCCGCAGATGCCAGATGCATTTTTAACATCAGGAAAGAGAGGGGCTGAAATTCGCAGCGGCAGCCCCGGCGGTGGAAGCCGTGTATATGAACTGGCTCCTCACCGGTGGGCCGCCTCAGGCCTTAACTCCCACCGAGCCGCACAGGAGCTACACGCTGCACCTGAACAGCTTTTGTCCTGCAGTGTTAATAAAAGCAAGCCGTAATGCAATGTCAGATCCCACTTCATTTATGTAGGTTGCAGTAACAAGTGCGCACGGGAAAAAAAAGGGAACGCTTTGAAAATGTGTCTACTTAGATCAACTAAACTTGCGTTGAGAGAAACAACAGGAGCATTTAGTCTAGTTAGCTCCAACAAAATTGGTTTATCAATTTGTTACTGGTGGCTCGAAGGGAAAATGCCTGTCGACTTGAATGCCTTTTCAGTTTGCCGTTGACAAGATTTATTTGTGAGCCACATATTGTATTAAACATCGCCTATAAAGAACACAGCAAACAGTTTCTACAATGACTGCCAGTGTTTGTAAAACTCGAGAATTAATTTAAAGCCTTTGATGGTGTGGTATTCCCCGCAGAGTCTGCTCAGTTACTGGACAGACATGTCTGTATTAAGCGTTGCCAGCACAAAATAATTGCCACTGTACCATCAGCACTTGCAAAATTGCTCTCTGTTTGTCAGTTTTGGTCTGGTTGCAGTGAATCTGGCTTGTGGAGGACTCCCTGCGCTGAGTCTAATCCACGCTACAGGCACATTTCCACATGAGATAGAGATCCATCGGACAACAGCTTCTATTGTGGTGGACTGGAAAATTGCTCCAGCTCTGCTGGGTTTAAGACTGGATTTGCTTATAGTCTGCTCACACGAACACTGTTGAAATATTTCCAATTTTTGTGACTAAAACAGACATCGAGGTGATAAAAACACGAGCTGCTCATTCCCTGCAGAAATGAGCGCTCTGTATTGCACTTTTGGATGCATTTACAATCTAAGATGTTTTATTATTGCTACGATAATATCGAAATGATGACATTTTGATGAGATAACCTGCACAGAAGCAGTGGGTGGGGGGATGGAGAGCAGGTCAATTGCTTTTTCCACCCAGGAGGCATTATGGGACTAATGATTACGCGGCGGCAGCACCCCCTACCGGGTGGCGGGTTATCACCATCCACAGGGCTGCGGTCCTGATGCTGAGGGATGGTGAGGATGCTGCGCAGAGCTGGGAGGGGGGGAGTATAAACCCGGTTTTGATCGAAAAAAATGTGCCTCAGTCTCTGTGGCGCAATGGAATAGCGCGCTGGACTTCTAATCCAGAGGCTCCGGGTTCGAGTCCCGGCAGAGATGTGGATGTGATTAAACAGGCTTTTTGGATTGAGGGAGGATGGAGAGACGGAGGAAGCAGAGATGTTGCGTTTTGTGGCCTTTGCACTTGTAATTTATAAGGATGCTCTGTCTGTTTAGACGACGGATGGGTAGATGAACTACCACGCATGTGTTTATTCTGCAGACCTCTAACAACAGTGCATCTGGCCTGGAAAAAAATAAATAAATTCCACCGCGGACGAGCCTATTGAGCGCGCAAAGGTCATCGCTTTAATATGCAGATTTGAAACGGGCAAAAAGCCTGAAACCACATCTCTGGTTGGAGCCGCACAGCACGGGCTCCGTTAGCAGCCTATTACCGTCCACCAGGCTGTGCGCGCTCTCTCAGGCTCCACGGTTCATCACGTGGGCACCGCAGGACAACACAACACGGTACGGTGCGCGGCGCGCCGGTAGACACGCGCGCACGGTCACGGCTCAGGCACCTGGGGCTGTCCACTCATTTAGACCAGAGCAGAGAGAAAAAAGAAAAAAAACAAAAAGCTTTTTCTAAATGCAGCTCCAGCAACAAAACATTTTAAAGCCCGTCCTCATAACAAGTGTTTAATGATGCCAGATGCTGCGTCTCCATCCTCCCATTTGGTTCAGGGAAGAGATAAAGACTCGCGGTTTACTTTGAACATAAATGACTCACAGACCCAGAAAATGGTTCCGTCTCAAGATGTGTCTGGTGCACATTTTTGTATTGAATTACAATGTAGCGCTGCCAGTGGAGAATAATTCCACTTGTCATTGTGTAGGTTTAATTTTCAGGGGTCTTTTTTTGAATCCCTTCAAGGACTCCTGAAGGTAGTCTCAGCTATTTTTTGCAAAAAAATAATAAATAAATAAAATAAAATATCTAGGAGCCCAGAGCAGCAGTGTTTATTATTATTCTTTTCTTTTTTTCCCTCCACTGTTGGAAAAGGCAGCTGCTTGCTTGGAGATCTCTCAAACGCCACGACTGCCTTAACCCTCCCCCCTCCTCCACTCCTGACTCCCCGTGGCTCTTGTTATTTCGTGTTTTCCTCCAAAAAAAATCCACCTCCCCTGGATTCAGTTTTGTCACCACCATCACCACCATCACCACTGATTGGGAGGCTGTAGTGCCGCCATCTATGTTTAACCCCATCGTGCCTCCCCACACACAGACCTAATCCGCCAGTAAAACTAATCCTTAATCCTCTCTGGCAAGTTGAACAACCTCCCCCCCTTCTCTCCTCCTCCTCCCCCCTCTCTCCATCCCTCCTCTCCCCTCCCTTGGATCCTGATTTCCAAACGTACATGGACTTCCCTCTGATAAAGTTTTATACCTACATTAAATAGGAAAAAAAAAAAAAAACTGGTGCTGTAAACACCATAATGGTTCAGAAGTGGAGAAAAGTCCCAGTAGTCGCTATTAAAGGCAGGATGGAGTGAAGCAGGAGTCTCCGCGCAGGGCAAGGACTCGGTATAGCCTGACATCATTACCATATTGCAAATCACCAAAGCCTTACGGGGGGATAAGGCAGCGGGGCCCTATCTGAGAGATATGCGTAATGGCTCCATATCTGTAATAAGGAACACTGTACTCCACTGAGAGCCGTGACAATCAGCTGCAGATGACCTCTTCATCTCTGGAGATGTGCTGGCCTTATAGGAAGGGATATAAGGAGACCACTGGGGGAACCCTACAGGAAAACGCTCTGAAAACACTGTGGTGATTTTCTCCGGTTATGGCGAGATCACTCCTCGCTATCAGCTCCATCTCCTTCATGTTGCTCTCAGCCGGTTAGGCCCCATGCTCTGGCCCTGTTATCCTGGTGGTACGGGCCAAATCGTATTAAAATCCCCTCCCTCCCTTCCCTCCCCTCCCTTGTCCCCTCCCCTCCCCTCTCGTCTTTCAGACAGTCTGTTTTTGCTGCAGTGAACGGTAGCCGTGGAGAGAGCGAGCGAGGGAGAGATACAAACACACAGAGCGAGAGAAAGAGAGAGAGAGAGAGAGAGAAGGCTGGAAAGAAAAAGCAAGAAAAACAAGGAGAAAAGGAGATACAAGAGGGGGGAAAAAGTCGATAAAAAGCAGATTGAGAGAAGGATCCCGACGAGCTGCGCATCAAAAGGAGGGACCTTACAGGGGGACCTTATTGGAGACCAACAAAACCCCGACTCCGGAGGCGGAATATAACGGTGTGTGTGTGTGTGTGTGTGTGGTTGTTCTCCGTGCAATGCTTTGGCAGTTTGTGTTGTGATACATGGTTAGGTTTGGAGCCTGTGGAGCGGACAGTGAGACACCTGTCACCGCTGACGCTGCTGCTCCGTCTCCAGGAATGTGTCTGTGTGCGCACTCCGAGTGTGTGTTTGGGAGTAATCCGTGCCCAGAGACGAAGACAGAGACGTCTAATCCCTTCGTGTTTTTAGATAATTTATCCTACTCTGAATATTGTTGTTGTTGGGCTGCCTTTGCTCTCCCAGCTCCGTTTTTAAATATATTTTTTCTTGGCTGTTACGCTCAATCGCAACTCGCAATGTGCGCAGCAGACTCTCCTAAATCTTATCCCATCAGCGGCAGATATCCGTGCAAGTAGAAGGTGTTAGAAAAATACAACTCCCGCGGTCCGTCGCAGCGATGCAGGTAGCCGCCACCGCCGCCACGAGCTCCTGTTGTTGTTCGTTACTATTCTTTACTCTCCGCGTAAAAGGAGCCGAGCGGGTAACTTGTGTTTAAATCACGCCCCGAGTGTGCGGCTTATTTCACCGCCCGCCCTGAGTGGATGCACTTGCTCCAGTTTTTTTGTTTTCATTTCTCGCCATCACTCAACAGGAAGGGCTGGAGCGACAATAAACATAACCCCCTCCCCTCCACCTCCCAGTCACCACATCCCATCCCATGCCCACCACCACCACCACCACCTCCATCCCCACCCCTCTGTCCCCGCCCTATCCGCCCGCCCGTCCCGCAGGCAGCACCGTGCAGCCTCCGTTCGTCCCTCTCTTTCTCTCGGCGGTGACAATGCGCGAAGCAGATGGACCGAACAGGGCTTCACCTCTGCGCAGGCTGCCGCTGCTGCTATTTTAAGGAATATGCGTGAGAAAAAATGAGAGAGAGAGAGAGAGAGAGAGTGTGACAGAGATGGAAAGAACGAGTGCCAGCGCGGCTATTATGCACGTCTGTCCGTCTCCAGTCTTGTTGCAAAGCGCACCGTTGTATTCTCAGCGGGCGGCAGGTGCATCTCTGCTGTTCTGTCTTTCAAGCCGCTCTTTCTTCTTTGTTTTTATTTTATTTTTTTCCCTACTCGGAGAATGTTCCCTGTGCGTTTTTTTTTAATTAGTTAGTTGGAGCTGTCCAAAAAAAGAAAAGAAAAAAAAACCCACCCGTTCCACACAGCTTGTTAAAGTAGAAATGAATAAATTCCTCCTCTTCACCCCCCCCTCTTCATTACCACCTCTACACCATCTCCTTTCTGCTCCATCACCCCCCCTCTTCCTCACTCCCTCCCTCCCCCCAATCGCCTCTCAGTATGGTATGACACAAGCAGATCGATGAATACCCATGGAGCAACGCGTGAGTAACGGGTGGGCCAAGCGTTTATTCAGCAGCAGCCAACCAATGGCAGGGGACGCAATTAGTGGCCAGTTGGCTCGCCCCGCTTGTTTTCTTTATCTCTCCATTGCTCTCCCTGCAGGTGACACTCCAGAGCTCCTCTGCCCTCCTGAGGATTCAGCGAGACAGGCGGATCTGTGTGCCCGACCATGGCCTTCCCATCAGCCCCCTCTGCATTATGGAGTGTCAGCTTATTGACAGTACTATTCACAGCTGCGGTTCACAGCAACATTGTCTACGGTAAGCAATTCTCTCCTCCCTCGTTATCTATCTGCCTCCTATTCTCTCCATCTCGCCGGGCCCCCTGACCTCCCCGACCCTCTGCCTTTCTGTCTCCGGCGGTGCCCCCTTATCTGTTGACTTGAGGCCTTTTTTTGTTGTTTCCTGTACTATGACAAGGGAATCAGAGAGCCGTTAATAAGCGCATGGGACACTCCCACCTCCCCCCTGGACCCACGGAGGAATTTTCTGCCGTTGTTTTTGAGGAATGTGTGTGACTTGCACGTGGAAGCAGACGGCTTAAATGCATTACAGCTCGTCCATGTGGGTTTCCTTCTTTACTCTCCACAAGCACAAAAGCACTCGCGCCCACTTGAATTCTCCCTTTCATGTCCACCTGCTCAGCATCTCCCTGTCTCCCTCACACACTTTATCTCCAGGTTGCGTGGACCTCTCGCAAAGCCCGATCGTCCTCCTCGAATGGCAACTCATGCACTTACATGCAGTGCAGACACATGACACTTGTAGTGGCTCAAACTATGATGAGCTGGGTGCGGCTGACAGCGGACGCTAAGAGAGGATTTGATGAGAGAAGCACTTTGTAATGATATCATCCTCCCGCCGTGAGCTCCAAGTGAACAGGAATATACTGTCCGATGTGCTTTCCAATTACATAACACTAAAGGCTGTCGGTAATGCAACCTTTGCAGGGCAAACTGTGCCAGCGGCGAAATGGCACATCATGATTGGCTCTCAATCCATAGAAAATTGATTGACATAGGTGGAGTTTTGTTGGCATTTTCTCATTACAGTTGGGATTTAATTGCCCAGAGTGTTTGGCAAAGAAACTGTAAGACGATACAGCAGGCGAGGAGGCTTCTAATAGAAGTTCCCTGATTTGCATTTGCAATATAGATTCTCAGAGGCTCCTTGCGTTCACTAGTGCACACCCACACCGTTTCACAAATCTACGTGAATGCGCAGTGCATACATATGCATGGGCACATTCACGGTCTACATATGTAAGTCCGCAGATATGCAAGCTCATGCACCACATTTTTACTGTACTTGGAATCTGTTTATCCACATCAGCTGTTTTTTTTTTTTTTTAACTTTCTGTCGAATTAGCTACGCTTGAGTTTCTGTGAGTTTATGATATGAAATATGGGAAAGTCAAGAATAGTCAGCGTGAACTCACAGCGGCCAGTGTAGCAAAAGCTGAGAAACAATCTGGCTGCGCCAAGAAGCTAGGATGAGGCCACTGCTAAACAAATGCAAATAGGAGCCTGTCAAGACCCTGAAAGCTGTTTAAGGTGAGAAATGCACAAACAGTCTCCAGACTGAGGAACTGATGATGAAATATCAATCTCTCGTCAGAGTTCTGACCCCAACCGTGTAGCTCGTCATTGAAACCCAGGCGGCGGTTCGTTATTTGGGTTCAAAAACGATTTTGGCTCGCGTTCAGACGCACGTCACATTTGATTAAGGTGTACCTAGAGGGAAGCCTGACCATGCATGACCAATTCTTGCTTTGGTTTCACCTAAGCGCTGTTTTACATTATCATGTCAGTCAAAGAGAGTAATTAAGCCTGGAAAGTCTGACAGCATTTAGGAGATGAGAAAACACGTCAAAGAGTGCATCTGAGAGGAGGGAAGCATGAACAGAGTGCTGACTTAACAGGAGCACATTGTAGACTCAGTTGTGGGTGTTTTTGTCATAAATTTTTGCTGTCAACACATAAACAAATACCAGTTTTAACTTCACCAAAACATAACTAATAACCTCTGTGGAAGGGAAGTTAGTCAGACTGGCTCGTCAAAAGTTTGGAAATACAGTTGTTATGCTACACAGAAAGAAATTAATCAGAACAAGAATTTTTTTCATTCTCAGTGTCCTTAACGCAAGGAATAACAACAACCTATACACTTCCCCACTGGCAAACAAGGAAATCATCTCCTACGTGACCTCGCATGCTGCACATATATTTGTAAGAATCTTTTGTTTGCGTTTCTGTAGTTGACATCTGAGTAATGTGACAAACAGTGGCGTTGCAGTTTGAGAGGGAAATGTTGTGTGTAAGCCGCAGAGCGCCTGGTCCATCGCTCACATCTGCTCCGATCTGTCTGATTGGTGTTGTTGTGAGGCAGCGGCAGGGCTGTTAAGTAGAAGATGGAGTAGGGTGGGGCGGGCAGTCAGATAATGCCGTCATAATGGAGATCTCCATGCTAAGAGGGCCCTGGAACAGAAGGGTCTACTTAGCATAAATAATTCAATGTTATGTATCAGAGAGGAAAAAAAAACGATTAGCTCAGCAAATCAATGTGAGAGCAGATGAGCCATCAGAGAAAAGGGCTGCCCATTACTGCTACCACTCGGACTCCACTGTGAATTAAAAATATGTTGACTGTTTGTCTCTTTTCATCATTCAAAGAGAGAGAAAAAAGCTTCCCCTTGAGTTCTGGGGGTTTGATTATTATACAGCAACCAGCAGGCTGCACGTCGAGAGCGTTTAAACTCCGGACCAACCCCGCTCTCCCACTTGATGTACGTCAAAGTCACAGAAGCGACGACTCTAGCTGTGTTTTTACTGGATTTTTCCGCGACCAGGCTTCCTTTAGAGCAAGCGAACGAATCGGGGAGACACTAATTGCGCGCCATTTGACATATCCATTTCCACAGCTGGATGTGCAGCCATGCGCCACGGATGGAAAGTGCCTCTCAGAAGGGCACAGATTAGGCATGCAATTGGCCGGCTATGCCCTGGTTCTGTACTTGCTTGACCCAGTTATCTCGGGGCTGTTGCGGAGCGCGGAGGGTCCGTGCTGCGGCCTCCCGTCAGCCGCCTGGCCTTCAACTCCGCGGCAGCCCCGGGTCGGACGTTTGCCTTCGCGACAAGAAACATGCCTAATAGTTTATTTACCTCAGCGAGTTCTGCTAGTCGGAAACCACTGAATGAATCCCGATGCTTCCAGCTGCGGCCGGTAATGAATAAGGATTAAAGGATGGGAGCAGTGTGGACCAGTTGTTAGTGTGGTAAGATTTACAGGCGGGAGGGCTCTGCATGTGTGAGCCTCTGCCAGCGGTTCACTTTATCCTGCCACAAAATGGGTTCCTTTCCCCCTCTAGACCAGCTCTTTCTCATTGGCCCCGAGCCCACTTCCTGTGTGTGCTGCTGTTGTTTACTGTTGACTTCCTGTGTGCCAAGATGGGGGAACATTTGGCTAATACACAGTATGGCTAACACACAATAGCAGTAGGCGGTTTGGATGGGAGGCCTCTGCCTGTTAACAAGGCTGACTGATAAGCAGTGACTCATTAACAAGCCGAGGTACACAGAGCCTGAGGGAATTACCGCCTAGCCACTGTGACATTAATAAGAAGGCCTAAGCTATTTTTCCATTTGGCTCCACTGGCATACGCCTAAACCAGTGGTTTCCCATCTCGGTGCTGGCTATTTACCGGCTCCAGTGCTGCTGCCCCTGGTTCACCTGGTCTGACCGGGCAGATCAGAATGTGGGCTGCAGTTAATGGCATCTGATGCGTCAATGGAAAATCAGACATCCCTCATTAGTTTTCTCCAGATTCATTCAGAAACATCTGGGGAGGAGCCCAATTAATTCTTCTCATACCGATCATGCCAATTAATTAGCAATGTGTTTGTTTTTCAAAAAGAAGAGAGAGACAATGACACATTCCACAACGCATATCCCAGATTTCAATCAGTGAGGCGGCTGCTGATGCTGACACTATATAGATCCAATTAAGCATCTAAAACACACTCGGCGCAACATTCAGAGGAGCTCCAAGCCACTGTCTCCTATCAGAATTTTAAATCCAAAGCCATATTACTTCCATTCTGTTGTGTTTGTTCTTCTCTGATCCTTTAAGTGTTTTGTCGTCCAGATCAGTTGTGTGATTATAAATTGAATCCTGATTGGCTGGCATTAGTTTGCTACAGATTCACATCTGGCAGAAAACCAATTATTTCTCCTGTTCATCATGCCGATTAATTAAGGCGCTGTGGCTGATTGATTAAACTCCCAACAAAGCTCTAACCAAGAGAACTACAGCCCCGGGGATGATTTGCATCACACATTATGCACATTGCTGTGTCTTCATGTTATTCTCATATATCTCCAGACATGCCGGAACATTATACATTCGACAGGAACAGAAAGTCGCCGCTCAACGAGGCACAAGTGTTGATAAGTAATTTGTGGCTAAATTAAGCGGAATTAAAATGCGGTGGCATGCCACTATCGTCGAATCGCGGAGGGATCAGGAGCACCCAAAACAAGACTCCATCAGACCTCATCAATCTAAAGCAGATCTCATCCACCCAGCACCACTCAGGCAATGTGATATTACATCAGAACAGATCAATCTCGCCTGCTACCATCATAATAACAGCAAATGCCATTTAGAGACTGAAAAGGGAGAAGGGCTCTTGAGATTTTGCAAAGTGGTAACGCACTCGGCTTCCTCTCAGGTGCTCTTGTAAGACACATCACTCTGCGTCAACTCAGGGTCGAGAAAATTAGGGGTCCCGCATTTACAGAGCTGTCAGCTTTAAGCCATCACTTCACAAAGACACTGCCGATTAACACAAACCTAACAACAACAACAACGCCAGCCTTGGAATAAATTAATTCACCTCATTTTCAGCAACAAGAGCCCTTATTATAGCGCTCAGCACTCAACTGGCTTTTCCTTTGATCAGGCCCCTCACTCTCACGCCGTCCTTACTCCCCTTTTTTCTCATGTTATCTGCTGGAATTCTCTGACTGGTGTTTTAATTGATTGCTGCGGGGGTGGAAATCACCCATCCTGTCATTGACGCATGGCTGGTCGGACCAAGGGCTTCCTGGAAAGGTGTATTTGTTTGTTGAAGCCCCGTCACTGTGCGGCGTGACCGTCCCCCGACTACGACGGGATGCTGGAAGATGCGGCTGTAAAGCGCAGCGTTTTCTATTGATTGAGTCTGAGTGCCGAGGGTTCCCCCCAGAGTGCCGGAGCTCCA